CGTACAGTATTCATACACAGTCACATAAAGTGTAAGCATCAGTGTATCCTTCACTGCAACAGTCACGTCGACTTGTAACTTTAGTATTTTAGGCCTTTACGTATGTTCGGTATAATCGTACAGTATTCATACACAGTCGCATAAAGTATAAGCATCAGTGCATTCTTCATTGCAACAGCCACGTCGACTTGTAACTTTAGTATTTTAGGCCCCTACGTATGTTCGGCATAATCGTACAGTATTCATACACAGTCGCGTAAAGTATAAGCATCATCAGTGCATTCTTCACTGCTACAGCCACGTCGACTTGTAACTTTAGTATTTTAGGCCTTTATGTATGTTCGGCATATTGGTACAGTGGATACACACAGTCGACATCAGTGTTGTATTTTAAAACATAGGAAGTTTTATGCAGTACTTGCAGAGTAGATATGCTGACGGGCTTCAGTACAGATTCAGTATTTATTTACAATCGTGTACAGTATTTGTAGACGGAGTACGTTTTATGCAATATTTGTCCAAGCAGTGATACTGGCGAACTTGTGTCCATATTCAATATTCATACACAGTCGAAAGCAGTATTGTATTTGAAGAAGAAAAAAGGTGATTTTCATGCAGTATTCCAAAGCCTTCTGAATGTCTAAAGTATATGCCCGAATAGATATGCTGACTGCTGATGGGCTTAAGTAAACATATCAGTATTCATGTACAGTCCTATCCAGTATTTCAGTATTTCTAGTCATAGTACATTTTGTGCAGTTTATATCCAAGCAGTTATACTGGCTAGCTTGCGTACAGGTTCAGTATTTATACACAGTAAAAAAACAGCAATATATTTTAGAAATAGCAAGTCTTGCGCAGTATTTGTCCGAGAAGATATGCTATAATATCGGGCTTTAATACAAAGTCAGTATTCATGTACTGTCGTATACAGTATTTCCAGACATAATTATAAGTCCAAGAAGTTATACTGGCGAGCTTGCGTGCAGATTCAGTATTCATACAAAATCGTATTTATTATTCTAAACATGGCTAGTTTTATGTAGTATTATGCAGTGTGCGTCCGAGCAGCTATACTGACAAGCGGAGTATATACTCAGTGCACCCAAACGATCGTATACAGTGCTCGTGGAAATAACACTGAGTAGTTATACTGTCGAACTGAACGCAATACACGTTTAATTATAGTGACTGTCATGTTTACTTTGTTAATCATTTTGTATTCATATTGTACTAAATCCGAATATCAGTGTAAATTTGCATCCTGCAGACAGTATAGCTAAGCTGCATCGTACGATTATGCCTGTAAATAAATCTGGTATCGATTCCAGATTCTCAATAGAAGAGATACGAGCAGCATAGATAATATCAAGTGTTAGTCTGCCAAAATTTGATATATTGGAAGCAATATATAAAATTTGAAAAAACAAACACAAATTACCTGCAGGCTGTAAGTGACACAAGTGAAATAGAAGAGCGTTTGAAATCGTCATTCGTAACATATCTAAACACCGCTTCTACCCGGAATTCCAACATCCAGCTGAACCCAATACAAAACGTGATCACGACAATGCTTGCACACTTAGGTGGTAATTAAAAAAACAATATAGGAACATATATATTGAACCGCTAGGAGCCTGGGACCCAATCCCCACGGTATCTGTTATTGCTAAGAAATGAGAAAAGCATTTGAAATATTCGTATGTAACCCAGTCTTAAATTGCCGTTTCTAGTTCAACCCAAAATTACAATATACAGCTGGACCCATTGCAAAACATGATCACGACAATGCTCGCTCACCTACAGCACAGGTGGCTTTATATAAACAATATTATAAAATACAAACATAAATAGATATTGAACCGCTGGGCACTGGGCGCTGGGCGCTGGAACCCAATCGCTACATATCTGATATCTGTCACTTGATATTAGGGAATGAGAAGAGCACTTGAAATCACTGTATGCATTGATATTGGTGCACCGTTTCTATCCCGAATTCCAGAGCTAGACTGCTCTCTCTAGTACTAGTAGTGTACCCGTTACAACACGATCACGATGTTCACATGTGGCTAAACCGCTAAAGGTGGTAACAACTACGAACAATATTGAATATACAACCGACATTGAAATTTTGAACCGATGTGACCCAATCGCTTTATACTACACGAAATATCACAAATAGCTGGATCTGTGTAGAATTTTGTCTATTCAAAATTTGTTTTATTTTATATGTGGGAACTGGGATTCTGGGAAGCTCTGTCCAAAAGAGGATCAGATAGTTGATAAATATTTCAAGATCAACCGCTGTGTTCTATTCACTATTGCTGTAAAATTGTAAAACAGATTTTGTATTGGTTTTTTGCTTTTGCTTGTTGGCCAATGGCCACGACGGACCCATGGTACCGGATAAAAATAAATGCCCACTCAAAAGTGGACAATGCTTTACTGATTCCTCATTCATACTTTTAGGCACACTACCTGAAAATCACTGCGTACTGGTCTAAATATCAGAAGAAGAAAATGAAGAAACAGAAGAAAATAGAAATGCTCCACACATATTTTATTGTTGAAATTTGAAAATTGAAGACCATGGAAAAGTCTCGATAAATAATGTTGTTTCTTTTTTATATAAAAACAAAACAGAATAGATAAATAAAAGGGTATATCCTCCCCTCCTCCCGCCTCACGGAGTCCCGGGCCTCCGCCCTCCCCTACTATTTATTCTTACTAAAAAATATTAGAGAGGGCAGCATCTCTAAATAGTAAATATGACTCATTGTATTTATTTCTATTTTTGTTGGAGGGCCATGTATGCCCTAAAATAAAAAAGGACAGACAGCTATGAAGAAAAACTGAACAAGACAATGAGTGAACTATGTATTGTTGAATATTCAGTATTCTACGGCATTAATTTTTGCCACAAACCGATTGGAGAAGAGAGAAAAGTGATATTTAGTCACGGGAATAGTACTTTTTTTATATATGTTTATAAAAAACCCCTGTTAAAAAAGTTTATATATTTTGCCGAATACCCCCCAAAGCGTATACAACAACACATGCGATATGAACAGCGTTAGGTTGAGAAATGGTCAATGAACTCGTTAGTGTGCAAAATCCCTCGCTAGCATAATCGCTGTATTGTAACATTAGACGGTTCAATAGTAAGCATCTATACATGCAATTAGAAAATATTCAGACTTGCCGCTGAGTAGAACGTACTAAATAAAAATGCTCTTCACAAACGTGCTCAGACAGCAGGTAGGCCCACTAGTACGTCAAAGTGCTAGCAAGTCCTCGCCCCGATGCCACGTACAGGAGTTGAGCCCGATCCCTGAAAGGATTTGGCAGTCTCATACACTGAACTTATCCACGTTCGCGACTACCCCTGGTATTTGTCGCGGTGCAACTCCCGTAGCTCCCACACCTACCATGGCAAATAAACGTCAAACGGTATCACAAATGCTGTATCATAATGCACAGAAGTTTAAAAATGCTAAACCCCGAGTGCGCGAACTCATACTCGAAAACAGAGGTCCCTGCAGACGTGTAGGAGGGTCTTTCGAAATACTCACACAATACCATGCGTCAACCGCATTGAAGTCGAACATGTCCATGCCTCAGGGTCTGTATGCCGGCTCGTATGGTAATGGGAAAAGGTGGTATTGTAAAGCCAATGATAGATCGGGAACAGCTGTTAGTGTGGGAGAGGGGTCGGCACAATCCCTGGGTAAAATAGAAGCACGGTTACAGATACAGTTTACCTGTGGTCAGTGTAAGGAGCGCGTTACCAAGGACTTCAGCAAGCACTCGTATGAGAAGGGGGTGGTGATTATTACCTGTCCTGGGTGCTCGAATAGGCACTTGATAGCGGACAACTTAGGTTGGTTCGCGGATGTTGAGGGCAGGAATATCGAGGAGATCATGGCTAACAAAGGACAGGTATGTAGATATGTAATTGTATGTATGTTTATATTTTTATTTTCGTTATTATTATTTATGCATGTTTGTGTAATGTATGCGTGTATGTGTTATGTATGCATGTATGCGTATACATTTTTATGTGTATATGTATGTATGTATATCGAATATATGCATATATATATATATATGTTTATGTGTGTATCTACCTCTTTTCCGATACTGCGCGCGCGCGTGTGTGCATATATATTGAATCTCTATATATATATATATATATATATATATTGTGTGTGTTGTGTG